GTGATAGACTTACCTCCACGTGATGCACTCTGGGCAACGTTTACTCATACGACAAAATTGTCTATTAATCGGCAGTTGACTTGACCCCACTGCATTTCATATTCGACTAATTCCACAGTACTCACCTTTTTTCTACCTTTGTGTCTGTCTGTCTCTTTTACGTCTGCGAATCATTATTCTGTCCATCCATCACGACTTTTTGCCACTTTGGTGTTCCTCTTCCTTTCTGTGAAGCACGAAGTCAACTAAAGGGCTAATGATAGCTATCATAACGCCTGCCATTTGAAATAAATAAATATTAATACAGTTGTTAGCTAAGCACGCGGGTAAGCCATTGTAATTTGGAAATGGGTTCATATTAACTCGTAACCGATGGAAATAGTAAGGCCAATACTTACAAAGATGGAGAAATCGGGTAGAACTCAACTAGAAAGAATCCACTCGATTGGACATAGTATTTAAATAATACCAACTGTGCTTTCACTGTAATAAAAGACAATAGAAGTAAATATACACAGTGCAGCAATGTTGAAGGGTTGGTGGGTGTCAAGTAGGTATAGAGGCGATGATTGTGGCGCAGGGGTTAAAGTCTTCAGCCGTCAAGCTAAAGATGTCCACCGATGCACACCCATCAAGCGGAATGGCCAAATAGGAGTGAAATGCACAAAAAATATGGCAGAATTCGATTTTCTCACATGAAAGAGACTTCGTGATACCACCTCTTTCCCTCCAACACGCTTCCATGAACCACCTTAGATTCCGATGAGATTTAAGACAAACCAAGCAGTGCAATAGGAATTGCGTATTATTTTCGTTCTTAACAAATAAACATTTTGGAATTAAAAATTACTATTTCACAATCACACAATAAGCTTCTTGAACTAATCAAAAAAATTATTATAAATATAATCGTCGCCCTACTCGACGGAATTGGGACATAAAAAGAGAAGATAAGTTAGAAGAGTGTACCCACGTTTTAAAAGTCACATGACAATAGATACCAAACACATTGTCAGCCGATTGCTGTTAAAATACTTCCACATGGTCAATCATGGCATTATTTTCTCACTTTTCGATCTCCTCTTGACACCTAAGAGTGCCGTGTTTGGCGGGATGTAAAATGCGTGAAGTAGCGCTGCCAAAGTCGCAAAGAACAATATTCTTTCGGCTATCGATGAGGAGATTTTCAATCTAGAGGGACGAAGAATAAGAGGAATAAACTTTGAATTTATATTGTAAGCGGTGCTCAGAAAGCAATTTGAATTACTTTAAGATCCCGGTGTATAATAGGAGTTTCGCAGTGATGTAGTCTGGAAACAGCTTCGCAGACGTCCGCCAAAATTCGCAGAACTTCTACCTCTAGAAAACGGAGGCCTTTGTGTTGTCTCTCTGCAAGCACTTGGGATATTGAACCTGAAAAAAGTGTTACTTATAAGCAATTTCAGTAGATATAGGGAAGGTTTCCCCTGATTGACTACATTACACATAACTATATAGGAAAGACAGTAACGGAATTCAATGACCCTAGAAACCAATTCCTGAACTGTAGGTGACTTTTTTAGAGTACTTGGTGAACTCATGAATAAGAATAAAAAGGTAGAAAGCGAAAGAATGAATACATACCTGGATAGTAAGCGGTGAGGAGCATAATTTCATGAATTTCTGGTTCCTTTTCCGTCACTTTAGAGGCCACATAACTGATTATGTTCTTGTGCATCAACGAACTCTGAAATGACACAAATAAACAAAGTAAAGGAATTAGTAAACCTAAATAAAACTCTGACGAAGTGAGCTGCGAATCTGAGGAATAGCTAGTGGCCTTCACACGACAACCCTTAACTCTAGTTCACTTCACCGCAAAACTCATCGATATTGGCCAAAAACGTAAAAGGGACTACCAGAAGACAAGGGCCTTTTTTGACAAAAAAAGGGGATATGAAGGTTTTTGGGAAAAAATGACAACGAAGATAGGAGGGAGAAAAAAAACGAAAGTCGCCAGAAGGAGCGTCCACACAAAGAGCTTGAAAGCTAGAATTTGCTACAGAAAGTCATCATGCGTACGCATTTAGCGTCCACTTTGTAGCGTGCTCCCAACAGTCTCGAACATTCCTACTTCTCTTCATTAGCCTATGCATGATTTATAAGGGTATCGCTACACTCATTGTTCACTATCAATCGTCTTTCCCCCTCCTTCCGTCTACTTCAGAGGTACTTAGGGATATGGCACAATAGGATGAGTTAGAGGCCTCCCATCATTCCATAATGTTTCTGATGTCAGTCGGGCAAAAGGGGTTACTCGTTGCATTATTTTGCCTTATTTTCCAGTGATGAACCAAGTAAAATCATCAAATGGCTTTTCTGCTTTTTTCACCACCTGAATTTAGATTAGTCTATGCTTAGTACAACCAATCACTCGTTTCATAGTGCGTTTAGCGAGCTAGTGGAAAGACCGACCAAGATGAACCTCATTGGAATTTTACCGCCTGAACTATAGGAGGTGGGGTAGAAATAAAACTAGAGCCTGTTAAGCAAGCGCTTGTCCAAGTTCTCAAGAAAAAGCAACCAACGCAGCATTACTGTACGAAACTTCGAAACACCGCCTAATCTTCAACCACGAGAATCACACTAAAAAACAAACAAGTAAACAAGGAAGTTAACTTACAACAATGGTGATTTCCCTTTTCATGCTGGCCAGATCCGCCGCGTTGTTAACAAGCGTTCGTTTCAACGCGAATTGGCTGCCGTCGGGAGAATGGACTTGATAGACTATCCCGAAACCCCCTAAAAATAGCCAAAATGTTGTTGTTGGGAGTTTAAGCAAAAAACAAGCCTCCTTGTTGCAAACTAATTAGCCTCCCTACAAAAGCCAGAGATCAAGATTAACGCGGTATTATCAAACTGGAAGGGCTTTACTCCAAAAGTCTCCGGGATAACGACCCTGCGGTAAAGCAAATTAAAAAAACAAACTATATATCTAACTTATTTGAATAAGTAAAACAATTTATAATTTAATTACTGATTTCAGGGCTAGAAAGGAATTTCAGTGAAACAATGTTCTTTACTAATGAAATCTACTTTCTGCCAAGCACTAATCCAAAGCCTTACTGATCACCAGAGTCATGTTGAAGTTATTTTAGTAAACCTGGAAAATGTAAGGATAATGTTAGGTCATTTGGTTGACCTGAAGGGTTCTAAAATCCGTACATGCAGTATTAAGAACTCCATCTCAAAGCCGTGAGCTCAGAATCTTTTTGATGCAACAAAGACTTCGACTAGGATGACCTATGGACACCAAAATAACCCGCCAACTAATTTTGGAATCAGATATTTACTCTCTCTCTCTCCCTCTCGCTTCGTCAGGGGTAAACACGCAAGAAAGTTCAACTCACCGTTCATTACTTAATTAAAAGCAAAATGTAAATATAAAGAAGGCAATTACGAGTCCAGAATCATCAAAACCACCAAGACGCAACGTTGCGTGACTCAGATTAATTGAAAGTAAATTTTGAGAAGTGGAGGAAAAAAACTGCAACTTCGTCATCAACTAAATTTTCTGCTCAATGGAGAGAATATTTAAAAAAAATAAAGCGGAATTCGTCTTCGATATTTTCTCCAACATTGGTCTAGCTCCAAATCTGAGAAGAAGAAGGAGAATGAGATCCCGATATGCTACGGTCCAGTCCCTACTTCTGTCAATTAAAATTGCTTCATCCAGAAAAAAACGTTGTTACCTGAGGGGCCTCCTAATTTATAGATCTACCTTAAAAATTAATTTTCCAACATATTTTATATCAAGAGAGGCTAACATGAATTATCTTTTATTCCTAAAAAGAAAACTTTGATTAAAATTAGTATGTGTTGTGGCGATAATTGTCAGGTTACTAGCTCTTAATGAGAAAGATTTTTTATCCAATAAAGTATTATGATGCGGTTTATACTATTTCTCAAGTTTTTAATCAACAGATTAAATTATGATCAATTCGACAACCAGAAAAGTGATAACCTACCAAAAGTGGACCGAAATTCACAAGGCTTATAAAGGAACATGGATTTTGCCCTAAACCCAAATCCCCTAATGGTTTATGAGAGGGCATTAAGGCACATGCATTCCTTAGACTTCAGAAAATGAAAAAATTGGCAACTGTTATTTGTACCTACTTTGAAAAGTTAAATGATATGGAAATGAACCATATAGGATTTGCAATATAATTAAAAGATACGAATGCCATTGTCCACTTGTGTTCACCGATGACGCGGTGAGAGGTCAAAGTATCAATATTCACCCACGCACATATTCTGACTGAAGTTAAATGTCAGAAACCCAACTAACCATAAGTGGCCATTGGATACCTTTCCTTCAAACAGTGATAAACAAATGGAAAAAATGCATTTGTGCTTAAACAAGAAGTAGGCAAAAAATGCATAATATATAGAAAATATGCGTAAGTAAGAGAACCAATAATTACAAACCCAATAAGCCTGATCATGAGATTTATTTTTCTGATTCTTAAAAGATGAAAAAGGAGCAAATATAGAGAAAACAAATTACGGAAAGTAAATACGAATTTTAAAAAATACCATTAAACTGAGAGCAAGCGAGCCTATAACAATAAATTTCACCATTGGAAAAACTAAAACTTAACCAAAGCGATAGCAAAACCTCAGCAACCTTGTAATAACATTTGCAAAGTTGGAAATAATCCTGTAAAAATCTAAAAATATGAGAAAAACGACTAACACAAAATCAAGGGGGCTCAGAACAAAGTAAGTCATGTTTTTGAACAAAATCAGAAAATTAAATATGCTTTTATATCACGAATTTCCCTTACCCTCAGCGATGATAGCATCGATTGTATAACGGTGATTGTCGATGGAGACTTGTTTGCCTGGAAGAAGACTAGAAGAACTGCTGCCACTTCCACCACATAGAGAATTGTCAGCGGACGAAAATCCATGTTGAGCAGCGCCAAAATCAGCATCGCCATGAGAGAGCAGAGCCAAAATCTTGCGCATGAGACTTCGGCGAAGGAAGTATTGAAAGAATTTATTCAAGGAGTACCTGAGACAAAGAATGTAAAAGCAAGCGAGTGTAAATAGGAGCCAAGGCCATTATTTATCGATTAAATCAAAGAAAATAAACAAGATAAGAAAGAAAAGAAAACAAAATAAATATAACAGTAAGAAACAGTGCGAGTAAGGGTTAAATCGTTGAGGCTCAATAAGGTTGGATACTAAAGTCAATCATAGTGTCAAAACATACTAGTGCATAAAAATAATTTATTTAACAAAATTACAAATTTAAACTAAAACGTAATTCAAAAAACTACAGCTACGCTAAAATAAAATCTCAATTAGGATACTTTTTACTGTTTTTCGACAAGCATTTTAACTTTACTACGATTTCATATTTTACATTAGAACGAATTTGGGTTATTTTCCTTGGTGCACTTTGAATAAATGCATTAATCAATCTTCGGTAGTTTGAAGGTTAAAGCGGCTTAATAAAAAAGAGTGCGTTATTCTTTTAAGGCTTTTCTAATTGCGAGGCTAATTATGTTGGCCCAAATTCTTAAAGATATGTATATTGAGCCAGAACTCTTACAGGAGCTTTCTGATGATCAAAAGCAGGTTCTTTTTGTGTCTATGCGTAGAGTAAGCGAATATATTTTCATATACCGTTTAAATAAAGGAACAAGTTCGAAGGTATAATGAGTGGATCCAAACTTCCCCGGGTCTAGATAAAAGTATGGTTAAAAGTATTGTTTTTTAATTGCTTTTAAACTTTGCTTTACCAACTATTTAATTTTCATATAAATTTAGTTGCATAATAACCGACGGTATATTATCCCTCTGGAAAGTAGTGCATTGACCGTGTCTATTTGCTGCATGAATATTTCCTTTTAGCTCAATTGTTCCTTAATGTATATGCTCAAAACAATTATATTTTTCAGATACTCACAAGAAAGCAAAGAATCATAATGCTCAACACGTTTCCTTTGCCTTAAATTCAGAAGGAGAGATAATCGCGGATGTTATTTCTAACTACTTTGAGTAGGTTCATATGACAGTATCGAATTATATTTAAGTAATATTCGATGCTTCTAATCCTTTTTTTCCTTCAGATCCCCTCAGTCATCTCCAGAGGCAGTTAGGAAAGTATCCCTTGTAAGTTGCTTTCGTTTGCTTTAACTATCTAATAATTAAATCGAGTGACTAACTTTATCTAGTGAAGTGGGTTGTGTTTTGCCATCAATTAACTCATCGCCCTTAATACACCTGTTAATCCGAATCAATAACTTTCTTTCATTTCAGTAACATTCTAAATCGTTTCAAGTGGCTCATCGTGATCTTACTCTTTTCTTTTTCGTTCCATTTCTTCTTGATTTTTGTATATTTCTACCCGTGTTCTAATTATACACCTAGATTTTCACACCACCTATTTATTATTGTCTTATTTTATATTAATTGTTTGGTAGCCCACTGGTTTTATGGGTTGCTTCGGATTCATGCGATGTCTAGACATTTGCTAATGTCTGAATAGGCAGTATTGTTAAGTACTTATTGATCTACCAATGTCAATTCGTTGATTATTGTTTCTGCCTTGACCTTTCTAAGTTAAATTCACATATTCCTCTAGTGGTGCCATTTTCACGCACAATTTGTGAAGTTGGTCATGTGAATGGGTTTATGAGATTCAAATGTGTTATCGCTTTTCCAATTAATTAATGTATAAATTTGTTTAGCATTTCCGACTAATCAGAATTTGCATTCTAACAGTAGCAAATGTATTGAATATATTAAGGCAAACACAGTGATAGTTGAACTCTCATTTAAAAAAATTAAATGTTAGCTTAAGAACATTTTTTAATTCTACGTAGCCAAGTATCATTACATTTCATGATTATTATCCGATCTGCGTTAACTTTCATCTCATGGATGATTATTTTTTGAATGAATATTAATGGGTACTGGAACCATTTAAGTAGATTGTTATTTCCGCTTTAGCCTGAGATTAGATCGGTGTCACCGCCAAGTCAACCAGTGTTGCGAAGGTCAATTCAGGGTGAAAATGCAGTTTCCACCAAACCGATTTCTCAAAGTCCATCAAATAATAGCCATCATTCTCGTCTCTCCTTCGAAATGAGATCCCGGATTTCGCAATTTGAGGAACTCGATAAACAAGCTGCCCCTCTTAATTGGAAGGAAGTTAAACTTAGAGCTCAACAGCAAGAAGAGAAACGTCGTAAGGTTGTAGTTGCAGCACGTAGAAGTCTTCATCTTGATGTCCACGTTGGTGGAGGTAAGTTTCTTACCAATCATCTGCGTACCTTCGCTAATTTTGGTGGAAATTTTATCGATATTTGGTCGACTGTCTGATATAAAAAAAAGACCTCAAACGATTCAATGGGATAGGTTTTATCAGCCGATTTGTCACTTTAAATCAACACTTGTTCACGAGATTAACGTGACCACCTTCCCAAACTAACTTTTGAACATTCGGGCAACCCCCTTAACAAAGATTATCTGTTTATCAATCTCAAATATTCTTGTTTGGAATCCGTTCTCAGGATTCTGTATTTCCAATCTACCTTAATAAACCCAAAGTGCAAAGTTACTTGGGTTCAACTGTGTTGCATATTTATTTGAACGAGTTGGTTTCTCATATTGGGAGGGGGGGGGGGGGGGGCGGACTAGCACCTTGACTGGTAAAACTGCACATATTGTCATTGCGTCAGACTGATATAAGCTAATGTTTGGTAAAGTCCCTTATTGTTGCATGCTTCAAACTGCTTTATTGATTTCTGACTAATAGGGATAATGTTGCCACTGATGTCAAAATGTTGAAATTTCGTTTTTCATTATTTCCTCTTCTTCAGGCGAATCTGCGCCTTCAGCAAGGCACAAAAATCTCCCCAAGTCGTCTTGTTCGATGCAAGACCCTGCAAACTTAAATCCTGCCTCTCGTAAACCCTCCATGACAGATATTGTCCAAGCAACCATGGATGCATCTTCATCAAAGTCAAACCACGCGTTCAAATTCCAACGAAAGGGTGTCAAGTCAGCGTCCACGCTTCTAGAAGCTTCGCTATTTGCCAGGATTCCGACGAAAGAGGATTCAGGTAGTGGTTTGGTGCAGGAATTCCCTCAATTGGATTATCGATATGGAACTCTAAATCGACTTCAATCCACTTTTGGGGCTGATGCAATTATTGATTGGTTTCGGGAATTTGAAGCTCCTTATCTGTTGGAACATGCATTCCAGGAGACTGGTGGAGCGCTGAAGATCCCTCAATGGTTTCACGGTAAGATCAGTCCTTGCGCTCAGCTAAATTGTCGGCTTGTTAGAGCTATGCTTGAACTAACAAAGTACTAACGAGTCAATAGGCTCTGGGCATGGTAGGTAAGAATTTACTAGATAACCCAGGTAAGGCCTATGAAATTGAGATTTCGGAATGTGAATGACCCAATAGGCAAATACTATACAACCCGAATCTTTATTTAGTTCAAATGTTAAGCTTTGTGATGGTTATCATTAGCCCTTTAGCTGACTTCGAGCTTCACAGAGAGGAGGAGGAACAGAATAGTGCTTGACATTTGTGAGAGTCAGGCAGACAAGTGGGGGGATGGTAGCTTGAAGTCAGAAGTCAAATGCCGGTTTATAGACTTTTTTGCCCTTATGAATATACGTTGGCCAGGGTGCACCACGTGGAGGTAGGTCTATCGCACACCCCACAATCCGAATCTTAATAGCAAAGAATGCGCGTGTTATACAGATCGTAAGGAGTAATCAATCGGACCTAATTGTAGATCCTAAGCTTAGCTGGCAGCTAACCCTAGCAAAAAACAGTTGGAAAAAGCGGAGAGGGGTAGGTGATGAGACAAGAGTGTGACTGAGTTCGCACATGCGTATGGAAATACAAAGACCACTTATATGAGTCACTTGGTGGGCAAGCACGCGCGTGAGGTTACTCAATCCAATTATGTCGATGTTGACCCGCTTATAAGTAAACCAATGGCTTTTACGGTTTACAATGAAGGAAGGAGTGGTTAATCTACTTGTAGTGCATCGGGAACTGAATGTGGAAATCCAAAAGACTCCTTCGTTAACGCATTCTCAAATCTCAATGGCAATTTATCGTGCTACCAAATACTATAGCTATGACATTACTTTAAAATTGAGTTTAGTTAATTACGACCTTAATTGATCCCTGCTCGCATTGTCATGCCTAAAGTGTTATGTTCCGCCTGTTTAAATACATCTTATCATTGAAATTTACCGGGTGGGGGGGGGGGGGGGGGGTGTTGCCTTGTCATTGCCCGCAACTAGTAATGCTCACCTCAAATATCAGTGTGCTTGATAACTTGCATCGATTTAATAGGCAATACACACATCCTCTCTTATTTCGTCAATGTGGATTAGGGTCTTCTCATAGAGTAAGCGTAAAGCAGCCAATTTCTAGTTCTTGCCTAATTTTCTTCTAGGACCTCTAAAGCGAAGACAAGCGGAAATGCTTCTAGCAGGTCGTGAAGGTAACAGTTTTCTCCTTCGAATTAGCGACAGTTTCCTCGGCTACGTTATCTCCCACCTCTCCACGAAGGGTAATTTCTCCCACGTTTTCCTTCACATTGTTAAACCCATCAACAACGCCTCGGATGATGACTGCAACAATGACCAATCTCAAGATGAACCGAGGTTTTATCATCTCCAAGGCCAGCATAATCTTTTTCCTTCATTGGTGCTTTTGATTGATTACTATAAGGTGGGTTTCGTGTACAAATTTGTCTTCATTTATTCTTAAAAACCAATAAATAAGCTCCTCTATTAGCTGTTGTGGAATGTGACTAGAAGCTCACCAATCGTAGTAAGGTGAAACTAGGGTCATTATATGTGCAACAACAGAGTATGAAGAACTTGTGTATGTCGACAACGTGTCAGTGGTCACTCAGGGGGTGTTGGTGATCAACTGCACTTTTACTTCTGTCGGGAAACCTTTCTTCTCTCCAAATCAGTTGCTGTAACTACTCCTCCTAATGAATTTGAGATGTTAATTTTTTAAAGAAGGCACCATAGGGAAATAACGGGGCTACGAAATGAGAGTGTCGTAGATGGAACCTGATTATTGGGGAATAAATGTCGGGTAGCGAAATTTAGGTTTGATTGCCCGTCGGTGTTTTTAATGTTTGCTCGATTTGGGTTAAAATAGTTCGCAGACTGTGTTGAAAGCATCGCAAATTTCGGGATGGACATCAGAAGACTAATAGTGGTTTGGGCGGGAGGAGGGGGGGGGGGTTAGTGGGAGTTTTCCGTTTATGGCCTGCTAAAGTCCCCCTTGGAGTTTGCAAAGCATTGATGCCTGTTCGATTAGCTACCAGGCTGTCTTGTAAAAATATCACGCGCTCAGATACCCTAGAAACAGCTAATCAATTGTGAAAAATTGAATCTATTTAACTCTTACTACAAGTACTTTAGAGCAATAGTTTTTGCTTTCATTCCTGATATTGGGTTATTAGTATGTAGTAATAGAAAGAGGACCCGTTGAAAGTTATGGCAAAATGCCGAGCTAAGTCCAAACGTCAATTCCAAACCTGAGTAGAATTCGTACATGAACTGGAGAAAGCATTGATTTTGTGGTTAATTTTTGGCATTTTTCGTTGAAGAAACGAGGTAAGCCGCTATTTATTTTTTTGTGTGCAACCAACGTTTGAGAATGTGATTTTGGGGCCTTGTTAAGTTACTCATGCGTCATTTTAATTCACAATATCTGATCACGTGAGCAACCTCTATTGATGTAATGGTGGCTTCACTATGATGGATTTTCCACTGACATTAAAAGTTTTATTTCACCTCTCTCTACCCAGACAACCACTATTGGCTCAATATACCACAATGAGACTTAATTGAGGCGTGTCCCCATTGTGTTTTTTTCTACGCGGTTCTCAGCTTTGGTTGTAAACCCTAGAAATAGTCATTTTGATTTAAATTCCTTTTTTTTCCTTTCACTTTATTTTAGTACCACTCAATCTTAGATGAGGAGAATCTATTTTTGAGTCATCCTGTTGGGCAAAATTTGGTCATCGGTGACTCCGGCAAACGCAGTTCCCCAGATTACGCGGCGTTTCTCTTTCACCAAAGCGACAAGAACGCCTCCACGACATTTTGAATTCGGAACGGTTTTTACTTACCCTATACCTTTTATACGTGAAGTTGATCATGATTATACAGCGCCTTTTTTATTAACGATGTTCTTGTTTTTTTATTTTTTTAAACCCCTAACCCTACTCATCTTGAGAAAATAGTTATATCATGGGGTTCGCCTAGTGAGAGTCGAAAATTCTACCACTGCAACTGGTTATTCCACTCATTGAATGTGCATCGACGACAATCGAACCGCGTAACTTCATACGAGTCAAAAATGCGTGACAATTTATGTGATGCTATTGTTACTTAAATTATTTTAGTAGCATGGTTTATTTATTGTGATAATTTATGGAAGAGGGTAAATATTGCATTGGTTTTTCGGAATTTTATTCAAAACTTGTAGAAGCAAAGAGTTTTATTTGGTTTAATGAAGAACCCCTTAGCGTAGACTTGTCAGTTCAGCAAAATCTGTCAATTCATTTCCATTACATGCCTAAAAAGCTAATGCTAAATTTTTAGAGCAAACTCTGTGTTTAAGAAGGTTAACAGGACGTATATTCAACCAAAGACGCGGTGGCTAAAACTCTTATTAACGAAGTCGTCAATTTAGTGCATTCATTAATAGGTAGAAATCGGTTTTATGTCACTTCCTTGGTGAAAGATAATGCTGAAAACCACCACGTGGTGCACCCTGGGCAACGTACACTCGTACGGCTAAAAAGTCTGTTAACCGACAGTTGACTTCTGACTTTAAACTACCATGACCCGACTGTATGTCATATTCGACCCCTTCCACAGTACTCTCGACTTTTGCCACTTTGATGTTCTTTCTCCTCTCTGTGAAACCCGAAGTAAGCTAAAGGACTAATGATAACTATAAAAACGTCTGCCATTTGAAATAAATAAATATCATCAACCTTGTATATGCTATCAATTCTCTATTGTCAAATTAACTCCGTAATAGTTTATGTTGGTTTTCAAGTGAGAAAATTCCTGCAATTTGCCACTAATTAATCCTTTGAGTGTATGAGAAGACGTGTACACGAATTTGAATGCCATGGTGCTTTTAATGGGCATTGATGTATCGTTCGGGATTGGCAAGCGTCCAGTGAGAACTGCTATTTAGCACAACCTCTTAGTCAGTCACAAATTTTTATCTGACAAGTAATCAGCTTGCATACTTTCCTTCCTTTAATTCGTCATTTTGGTTTAAATTATGCTAATTTCATGAGTGTGGTAGCACATTTGGATGAGTCTTTTTATGCTTGCTGCCTTTAAAATTTATTTCAAATTGCAGGCTTTGTGATATTTATCATTAGCCCTTAAACTTTGACTTCAGCTTCCACCAAGGGTGGGGGGGTACATTTATAGATGTTAAATAATAGCAGTTCATTAGCTGTCTTCTTGCTTCCCAGTATCTCTGTGTTTCCGTCGTTGTCTTTAGGGCTGAACACCGAAACAGGTTAGTCTTCTCCATTTCCTCCTGTAGGTTACATAGGGGGCATGTGGGTTGAGTGTATGCTCCCAATCTGTGAAGGTGTTTTGCCAAGCAATAGTGTCCGGTACGTAGTCTAAACTCAGCAACGGCTTCGATTCTTGGCCAGTCGGCTATGTCGGAGAGTGAGACCGTCCACTGTTTCTCCTTTGTTCGAGCTTTGAGTTCGTTGCACCTTGAGATCTGGAATTCTCTCCTGATTAAGGCCTTCATTGTGTGGAAAGACATCGGGCGGTCCATGCATTGCAAAATCGTTGTCCCCTTCTTAGCAAGAGTGTTTCAGAAAGCTCATTGCCTTTAATGCCACAGTGACTAGGAATCCATTGTAGGACCACTGTTCTGTTTTTCTCTCTCAGCAGCTCATAGAGCTTACTACATTCGTTTATCTCAGCTGTTTTGGGTGGCTCTCTGTTTCCAATTGAGTTTATTGCTGACTGTGAGTCCGAAAGTATCAGCGCTTTGGTGAATTTCGTATCTAGGCAACATAATTGGTATAGTGCTATCTTAATGGCCTCTATTTCCCCATCGAAAGTGGATCTATTGTGTCCCGCTGCTGCGTAGAAAGGGAATAATTCAGAGTAATCACCTACACCGACGTTTCCTTAGTTCTCTATGTATGACCCATCAGTGAAGACTTGGAGCCATTGAACTGCAGCATAGTTGACAATGATTGTCTCAAGGGCCAGTGAGCGCATTTGTTCTGGAGGGGTGTTTGATTTCCTGAAGAAGTCAAGCAGTTGGGTGCAACACACTACATCAGTGTCTGCTAATGGATCCATGGGTAGAGAGAGGCTTTTTGGTTTGTCATCGATTTGTAATTCTTTCTTCAGTTCTATGGCTTGTACGTCTTCTGTTCTTCCAGTCTGATCAGCAGTATTGCGAAGGGCGTCCTGCTTTCTTTTCAGTTCCTCAAGGTGTTTAGACCAAACCACTCGATAGGGTTTAGTCTTGCCTCGGGGAATAGTTTTCTTTGCACATCTGATCATAATATTCGTGATATCATTGAAAAGTTTTTCAAAATGTTGGTTGGAGTTGAGGGAACTTGTGTGAAGTTCATTTTCTAAAAGATTTGTGAATCTAGGCCAGTCAGCCTTCTTGAAGTTCCTTGATAGCTTAGTTGGCACTTTCCNTAATCTGATTATTTCGCATATGTCTTGTGTCGAGCCCATACTCTTGATTAGATCGGAATGTGAGGTGAGGCCTTCTTTAACTCCAGTCAGAATTCCACTTGCAACTTGCCGGTATTTAGATAAAAAGGTATAAGGTGTAATCTGGGAATTGGTAGTACTTCAGTTTGTCATCCGAAAGGTTTGCTTCCATAATTGTGAAAATGTCTACATCATAGGTTTGCAGCCTTTTCTGTACCCTGAACTTGGATCTTTTTGTCCTGTGACATCCCTCCAGCATTCCACATGGATCTTTTTGTCCTGTGACATCCCTCCAGCATTCCACTCTGTACTTGGACCTTTTTGTCCTGTGACATCCCTCCAGCATTCCACTGGAGGATCTAGAATTGTGATTGGCCTTAACGAGAGCAATTTCTCTTATAGCCTTTTTTAAAGCTCTGCGAGGGCGATTTTTCTTATAGCCTTTTTCAAAGCTAATAAGGGCGATTTCTCTTATAGCCTTTTTTCAATCTAATCATAATAATTTTTCTTATAGCCTTTTTTAAAGCTAATCATAATAAATTGGTTCAAAGCTAATCATAATTAATCGAAGTCAAAAACGTATGGGCTAATCATAATAAATCGAAGTCAAAAACGAATGCCGAGTATAGACTTTTTTGCCGTAAGAAAATACGTTGTCCAGGGTCAGATTTTTTGCCGTAAGAAAATACGTTGTCCAGGGTGCACATTGACTTTTTGCCGTAAGAAAATACGTTGTCCAGGGTGCACCTCGAGTGATATACTTTTTTGCCGTAAGAAAATACGTTGTCCAGGGTGCACCCACCATTTTGCCGTACAAAGATACGTTGTCCAGGGTGCACCACGTAGCGCACCCCACGTTTAAAGTTAGCATTGCAAAGAGGTCCAGAACTTCCGATTTCGAAAATATCAATAGAGAAGTAAAGAATAAGACTCTTGCTGCCCAGGATGGCTATTACAGAAACACTGTTCTTCAAGACGACACGTGTAGAAAATATGTCACTAATGGAGATATAACTTAGGCCTCTCCAAGAACTCCTAAAATCGTCCAGTCAGTTCAAATCTCCAAAATAAACCTCTCAGACTAACCATATTCAAGCAAATTCGAAGTTCTCATCCAACTCTTGTAGTATTTACCTTCTCAGGTGATTGACGCTAACTGTCAATCAGTACAGAATAAATTTCGAGTGGGTTAGTCTTCCTGAAGCGGCAGTATCTTAATTTGTTGCGAGAAATTCAGAAAACGCTGACTAAATAGCTTTCCCATTACGTGATCTGAAATTAGACCTGGTTTGTCTCACGTTAATTTTATCTTCCTGAATGGATGTGCAATCATACAAGTTTTCGATCTCGGATCCGATGGTAATCCACCCTGACGCTGGTGACCTTCCACTCAGGAATCGCGAAACACCTGTGGATTCATCATAATCATCAGCCCGACCGTTATTTCAGAGGCTTCTGAAGAGGTCGTAAAAGGCCCAAGGTGGAACCAGCGTTCGAACCCACGGGTCAACAACTTTCATCTAGAGATACCGGTTAAAATCAGTTAAACGTGTTTCATGAAATTATGAAAGTACTGATTTTGCGCGTTTCTATACATGCTGTTATTAATTATTTACCAATATTACTTAGTGTTATTGAAAACTGCAATTTTGAATCCTTGTCTTAATGCTAACTACCAACAATTTTTGCAGTCAAAATGTTTATCCATGCCAAAACAAAATACTTTTTGTTGATTTCTGTGGTTTCAGACATAGAGACTGCTAAAAATATTTATCAAGTAGGCGTGAGAAAAAAATGACTGCTATTCACCTCCCCCAACAACTAAGGATCGTACTTACACAGTTTGTATTTACACTTCAATGGATATGCCAGCTCATTAGGGGTGCATTATAAGAAATTCTTTTGGTAATTTCGCTATAAGCAGCTGTGGTGTTAGTGCTGGTAAGTCGGCCATCTATTTTACTCTAGATGTCTCGAAAGTAAAAGCCCCTCAAGAAACAGGCGACAAATCTCTAAGAATACGAATCGATGAGCTGCATACATGGCGCAGAAAATGTGCACCTTGAAGCCGAATTCAAACTTCACTCTACACTAGTTCTATTTTCTACTCAATTCCCCACCTTGAACTATATTTGATTGCCTGGGGTGCGCAATAGACGTACCTCCACGTGGTTCACCCTAGGCAACGTATACCTATACGGCATAAAAGTCTATTAACTGGCAGTTGACTTCTGACTTCAAACTACTATGGCCCGACTATTTGTCATATTCGACCCCTTCCACAGTACTCATCTTACCATTTTTATGCCTTTGTGTCTGTCTGTCTGTCTCTTTTCATCTGTGAATCACTCTTCTGTTCCCCCTCTCGACTTTTTGTCA